AGTGTCATTGTTCCTTCATGTCCAAAAGTCCTTGAGACGCTAGAAAAACGTAGTAAACACACTACTGGAGTATCCTTTTTATCAGAGAGAGAATATCATTTTTTTGTTTAAGAAGCCAAGTAATTGGTAGATGAACAAACCTGATATGGACAAATCTACAAATTATTTTACGGTAAAAACAATTTTCATATACTTCTTTGTCTGTTACAATGTTAAAGTATGTAATGACTAATAGCTTAATGAAAATAGTTCATAAGTGTAGTTTGTAAATCATTAACCATATTTTTTTTACAAAAATAACAATTTTATAAATAAATCGTTTTATAGAATAATAAATTTCTGAAAGTTTATGAATACCTCGTGTTAAATATTCATTTTGAATATTACTTTTATTACGAAAAATATAGCAAACTCTACAAATATTCGTATTTGCTTTAAATTTCATAAATGTAGATATTTTTACAGCATATCTTTAATAGTTGTGTACAAACACATACTAATATTCAAAAATAAAGTTTGTTTTATATACATACATTTTCGATCAACAGTCTTCCATAGAACAGTTTTCTGTACGAAATTTTTACATTTATACAAATATATACATCAAGAAAAATGAGATCATAAACAATATTCTCTAGACGACATGTTATATACATCAGTTATATAGTTTAGTCTATTTTAAAGTACAATCATCGTCTACTACAGCCTTCTTTTCAACCTGTTGCTGCAACATTTAAACAGCTACTATCTTGCTGGGATCGACCTTCACCCTAATAAACATGGTGTCATCTTTCATAAAATGTCTCTTCTTCAACATTTCATGTGAAACAAACTTCGGAAAGCCGAACCCTAAGGAATCAGGTTCCCTGCTGGGTCGTTGAAAATTCTTCCAAGTTGGGTCGGGAATAAAGCTTTCGACGATGTTGCAAGCTTTTTCCGGGCAGGTTGACTGATCGAAAAGAGTGAAGGAGACCGAATGAGAGAATGGCCATCTTAATAGTGCGTCATACTCTCCTGGGAGTATTTTTATGTACACCGAGATGTGCGTGTCTTCTCCAGCTCCGTTGCCGTTTGGAAAGAGAGATGCCTGCAAAAAATAAAATAATTAGTTTTACAACTAAACATCTTGTCTTATTATAAAAAACGATCAAAATAATATAAGCAAATATCCCGAAGTTAAATTAAATATTTGGAGGCATATTTTGTATAAATCTTACAAAAACTGGCTAATAACTAAGTTTAATTATAATATCTTGAATTAGGTTCATATAGAACCAGTACAAAGATTCCAGTATCTTGGTTGCTGGATAACAAACGATCTTGACTACCAGGTCGAAATACGTGCTCGTATAGAATATGCTAGGTCCGCAATTCAACGAATGAAAAAATTCCTAATAAACTCTACGTTATCGTTGGATATCCGATACCAATTTGTAAAAACGTTTATTTATTCCATATTGCTATATGGAGTGGAAACATGGACTCTCGGAATTACAAGTATGAGGCGTATAGAAGCCTTTAAGATGTGGGTTTTTCGAAGGATGCTGAAGATCTCTTGGACAGAGCACGTGACCAACAACGAGGTGCTAAGAATAATGGGTACTGAAAGAGAACTCCTAATCTATCTGGTGTACCTCAGGGTAGTGTGCTCGAACCGATCTTGTACCTGTTATATACGGTTGTAACGGTAACCTTACGCTTGTAACCTTACGCTTGCAAGTTTAACAAAAACTAATAATGAATAACTTGCATACAAACTAATATGACACAAATAGCAGTCTCTTTATCACATTTTTAAATTATTCTAAGGACTGGAAAAATAAGTCCAGATCACTTTGGTACCTATTATATAGTCTCACCATATGAGTAAGAGGCTTGAAGTATTCAGAATAAATTGATGAAATGGCAGATGAAATAATGAAGTATGTCTAGTTCCATGAAGAGCGTTAAGACCTAATCGATTTAAAAGTTCAGGGCAATTTATCAAATTATTAACAATTTTGTAAAGGAATATTAGGCAAAAATAATCTTTTCGCCGATTCATAGAAACCATTTTAAGTGATCAGCTATCATTCTATAACTGTATAGAACAGAAAGGTCATGAAAAGCACTATGGTAATAATAGTGTTTACCAAATTTATGCTGAACACGATCAAGCTTGTCTATAGAGGTTTGATAGTATATTCTAGTCTGGAGCGAATGAGACCATTAAAAAGAATTGGTAAAACAAAACATGAAAATTGAGAAGTGTTTCTAGTTATAAACCCTAATTGTTTAAATGCACTGTTTATTGTGACCTCTAGATGATTACGAAATGTTAATTTACAATCAAAATAAACACCTAAATCCTTAACACAGTCCGACGTTGACAGCTGAGTGTTATCAATGCTATAATCGTAATTTAAAATTGTTTGCTTTCTGTGAAAAGTAATAACACAACACTTCTCAATGTTCAATTTTAATTCATTTAGTTTGCACCAATCGCTAAATCTGCTGAGATCCTCTTGTAACTGAATTTGATCATACTCACAAGTAATGACTTATCAATTTTTTTATCATGAGCAAAGTTCAGAAATTTTGAATTCTTAATGACTTTTTCAACGTCGTTAACAAAGAGGACAAAAAGTAGAGGACCACAATGTGACTCCTGTGGTACTCCAGAGAGAACGTCAACAGATTGACACAACAACACATTTATCTTAATGCTCTGGGTGTTACGCACAAGAAAACTATCATATCAATCAAGCCATTTGCCAAGCTATACCAATGGCTCCTAATTTACTAATTTGCAGATAATACTGCTTTCCTAACATCTCCATAATAATCCAGTAATAGCATCAGAGATACTGCATCTACATCTAAACAAAACTAATGAATGGCATAAACTCTGGAGAATTAAAGTAAATCCTTCAAAGTCCACACATATTACATTTACTCTAAGAAGAGGTATATGTCCACAAGTTAACCTCGATGGACATCCTTTACTCCAAAAGGATGACGTAAAATATCTAGACATTCATTTGGACAAACGATTAACATGGACCAAAAATATATGGACGAAAAAACTACAACTAGGAATTTTATACAGAAAACTTAACTGGATGTTGGGAAAAAACTCACACCTATCGATCGTCAACAAGCTGCTGATATAAAAAGTTATAATAAAACTCATTTGGTCAAATAGTTCGCACCTCTAAATGTTTAATGAAAATACAAAGATTTCAATATTAAACTCTTAAGAACAATCGCTAATGCCATTTGGCATTAGTTTACTTATTGTTTTTATTGTAAACCATATTGTAAAAAATTTTAGATGTTAATAAAACTCATCAAATCTTAGATATTTAAGGATTAATAACAAGTAACGGTACGTCGTCGGTTTAAGCGCTAAGACTGACAAGAATATGTAGGTACTAAAATGTGAGTTCATTTTTATATACACAATAAATATGTGAAGAGACTATGTCGTTCGGACTCCTTGTATCTATACTTAAACGGTTTAAATTTTTATTTTTTCCTTCTCTTTTGCCTCACGTCTTTAATATATTGATTATTATTATACTAAATTGTTTATTTCATCGACTAATAAATGTATCACAGCATTGAGTTTATTAGGAAAGTGAGGTATGCGTATATTAAGTGTTGCCTACGTTGTTAGTTGTAATTGGGAAAGTAATATATATCACCATTGTATAATAATAACTATACATTTCCATCATTTCATAGTTCCCTACATTCTCTACTATTCCGACAATCTGACAACACTATGTCAAACTGTAAACATAAAATTGAATGACGTGTAAGATATTTAAAAGAAAATGACCAACATCAGCTATATCCTTAAGGCCCAGTTTTTCAGTGAGAGGTTAAAATTTTGGTTAGCTAACTTTTATTAAATTTTAACGAATTGATTAACCCTTTTAACGTTTTTCAGTGCTTTAAACCAGGTTGAGACAATCGCGTTTAGCTAACTACTTTTTTTATTTTTTTTAGCTGTGCTTGGGTATATGCAAATGGCTAAATTTTAAATGTAATACAAAACTTGCCTGTTTGAATAAAATCTGAATCACACTCTGATGGCATTCCTGTTCTTCTTTTGCCCAATATATCATTTATAATGTAGTCAATTGATGTTCATTTGGCTTTGGCGGACCACCACCTGTAGCTGTACAGTACTTGGTACCGTGGACCAGTAGATTTTGTGTTAAATTTATTGACAAACTCTTCTCATTTACAGGACTTTTGTTTATTGCTTATGTTCAATCACAAATTAACCCCTTAATTTGTAATCTTACATTATTTATAACGTCGTAATCTTTTATGGTTTCACCGTGTATAAGTGAGCCATTGTAAAACCATATCGTATAATATTTTAATAATTAGTTCATTTACCTACAACTAAATAAATTGCCGAATAATATATTTTCTAATTGAACTTCCTAAGTGTCGTAATTACGGCCTAGATTAAATTGTATTGTAAGCAGAGTTTGTTGCTATGGTATGATAGAAAGCAATAACCTCTGTGCTGAGGTATGAATTATTTGTGAGATTATAAATTGGGAATTTGAGCTCATTTGAGCACAGTCTATTATAAGTAGTTACCTAAAGAACATCATATTGTGTAATTACCAGTAGCTGTCAATAAAATCAACATTTTTCTCCATAACTTCAACCTCTTATTATATTTATCATCGTCAATCGACAAGAAGCGGACAAAGGGACATTATAAAACGATTCGAACCTCATAACTACGTTCGAATCTTTCCACTTATCACTCTTGTTTCTTTACATTCTAATATTTTTCTGCGTTGATTCATCAGTTCTACCAATAATTTAACTTCACTTCACTTTCAGTGAAGTTTTTGGACTGCATGCGAACGTTATTTCTTGTCCTTTCATGCTGAATGTAAAATACACATAATTAAAAAATCAATTTATTTAATAATGAATGCAATCTAAAATATAATAATGTAAACTAAAGCAAAGAAAAACAAAATAACCTAATCTCTTTTCTGTGAGGCAACACTCAATAATTCACGGTACCTATGCGCAACTACAACTACAAAATTCGGAGTTAACCCGTCTAAGTATTGATCAAAATCCTAATCAAATTAAACAGGTTTAAGTGCTAACCTAGTAATGAAAAGCTGATTTAGTATAAATATTTGGGTGACCAAAATTTAAATAGGTTAACCCTCACTGAAAAAACCGGTCCTAAGTGTATCCGATTTAGCAGCTTCAACTAGCGCTGACACTACTAAACTGGATTTTTGAAATTTTTTAATTCAATATCCACCAGAAGTTCACAAGTCTGTTGAAACTGGGTAAATGAAACGCAATAATTAATCTAACTACGAGGATATAAGCACTAAAGACATAATATCAATAATTATTAAAGCTGAAAAAAATTTACCTGTAGTTTATATCCATATTGACTAGTATAAAAAGGTGGGGACACTAATTCCATTCCTTCCTTGGTCTTGGCTTCAGCCATTTTCGTTGAAAAATCGCTAATCTTCCAAATCAGAGTTCCAGAATAATTCAATGACAATCTGGACAACGCACTTTTTAAAGAGGTGATTTGGTGTTGCTGTTTAGATACAATATTGCACATAAGGGTCAGGTGTTGCTGGCAATTCTCTTCTATATGTTTTTCTATTACATATCTAGGTCCTTTAAATCTGCATCCCGCTTCTTTAAAATTACAACTATGAACGGAAACTGTGCATTCTTCTTTGAGGTGAGATTCCAGTTCTTCACGGGCCAATACATTAACGTCACATCTAAAAAAAATTAATAAAACATATTAGATACAGCCAATTATAATAAAAAAAAAATTGTATCTATATAACAAAAACTCTAACACAGCCATATCATGAAAATCAGGATATGATAAGAAGAAACAATTTTCAAATAAATTTCGAAAAAAAATTATGGCTTGGGTAAATTTCAAACTACTCATTTGTGAGGAACGAGGTGACAAACGGCGAAAAAATAGTAACCAAAATGATAAAAAAATCGACAATAATATGTTTATTATACTACAGACAAGGCAATACTAAAAAAAATAATATCTTACAGTCTCGAGGCCATCGATTCTAGTCTCAGAAGTGCAAAAGGCCATCGATCAAGCGAAACGAAGAAAGACTCTTTTTCCTGTTGAGATCTCTACTGAATTATTACAACTATGAGATAATGAGAGTGTTATTATCACCTCTTTCTTTAAAAAGATATACAGCAGCCACAAATTACCAGATTATAACGGACCAACTAGATCCAGAGATAGAACTAAAACACAGAATAGCAATGAATAAAATACTTACACCGGAAAACGTCTTATCTGGGACATATAGTAAGGGGAAATAAATATAGAGTACTACAACTGATTCTTAAAGGCAAAACAAAAGGCCGTAGAGATGTAGGAAGAAAACCAAGGTTTCTTGTTTAAAAAATATTAGTGAAGGGACTAGATATCAAATGCAGGAAAATTATTCCATGTGGCAGAAGATCGAGAAGCCTTCGCAATGGTGATCGCCAATATTTTAACGCAAAATATATCATTGTCGCCTATATTAACTTTGTGAGGGATTTACTGTTGCTTTTTTGCCCGCGAATACTTTTACAAAAAACCATTAAGTTTCGAAAAAATATGTACGTACTTGTTTTATAAATTTCGAGAAAGCCTTTGACAAAATACCATATACATTACTATTTCAATGCTTAAACTTAGTTGGTCTGTACATGTATGACATCAGATTGCTGGAAACTACAATCAGACTGCTTGTATTAAGTTGGATCAGGAGGTTTCAGCTAAAGTTCCTATTAAGCGTGACATCAGACAGGGATGTGACATGTCGCCAATGTTGTTTAAAGGTATTAAAATCGGTGGTGAAATTATTAATAACATCAGATACGACCAGATAGATCAGATGATACTACCATAATGACTGTCTACAAGACCTTCTAACTCTGTTGAACGCAGTATACATAGGTACAATGAATGCAATGAAGAGGGCTTAACCATGAAAGCAGGGAACTAAAGGGTAAAAAACTAGATAAGAAACTGGATAGGGTAGAACACTTTAGATATCTGGACAGCTAGATTTTCTGCATAATTAAGAGCGAAGAGGAAATCGGAATACAACTGACACGCAAAAGTTGCATTAACGGGTATTGATCCTAAAGTGTTATGTCTGATCGCCTTTGGTTTATGGATGTGAAAGGTAGACAATAAAAGTCCAAAATATAATTAAATTAAAATTTGAGTTGTGTGTTACCGTCGCATGCTCAAAATGCCGTGGACACTACACATATCTAATTAATGTGTGCTAGAAACCATGCACGAATAGCGAAAATTGATCAACACCTTCAAAACGAAAAAGGTACAATACTTTGGTCATATAACGGGATCTAAATATCGCTTACTCGGTTGATCGTGCAGAGTAAAATAAAAGGAAAACAGCTGAGTTGAAAGAAAACAACTGTCCTGGCTACGTAACATTAGGCATTGGACACGTATCTCGAGGAATTGTTTCATGTAGTTACTGACCGAAAAGCATTCCAGTAGCTTGTTAATATAGCGGTATCCAACGCTTAAAAACAAGCATGTTACACAAAGAAGAAGAAGACAACACTAGGACATATGGAAGTGACGATGATACACAATTAGATGACAAGTGATGATAGACAATTGACTGGGTTCTTTTCTTTAACATATAAGTGAAAACTCCATACTAAATAAAATCCATGTATCTGATATGAATAAAATAGTAATGAAACTTTTAAAGAAGATAACAAGCAAAAAAGAAAACAGCTGATGAACAGCAAGACGTGGCTGGCTGCTTCAGGCCACGACATTATACTGTTACGAACGTGCATTTAACGAGGCACGTATAACGGTTGCATCTCGAAACAGCACCTCATGCTTCCATGCGGCGTCTCGAAAGCGACTCGATATTTCGAGAATGATCAGTCACGTATACGCCTAGAGGTGGGAACTTTCTAGAAAATAGTAACTTTGGTATATATATGTAAGGATCTTAGGAGTTAGTTTAGTTGATAAGAGAGTACCGAACTGTAAAGTTATAAATAAATATATTTATATAAATTCGAACCGCTCGTTTTATTTAATCTCGCTACAATACATAAGAAAATATTTCATACACTTACCTATTTGGGCACTGGACTGGTACTCGCCCACATTTGACATGATGAGCGGGAAGAGTATCTGCAACGAATTCTTTAGTACAATATCTACAAGGTACTAGTCTTTTTGAACAGTCTCCAACTTTATGCTGGCTGAGATGTCTTCTATGAACTTTTACACCACATTTGTTTTCACAATATAGAGGCTCATAGCCGCAGTGACCCACATGATTCTAAAAATAAATGAATATTAGTACAATAATTGCTACATGGACAACATAAATAACTATATTCAAATCCACAATGAAACTGAATTACTGAAGTAGACTATATACCATATACCTATCACGAAGAATTTTTATTTAAAAAATTCCTTTATAAAAGGTAGATTAACTCATAAATGTCTAACGTTACCATATGGTAACAGTTGCGCCTATCTCTATATACGACTTATTGGAAATTCAGTATTGAATTCAGTATTGTAAACTGTTGCGTCATTTTACCTTCGAATATTAGTGCAACCGGTGGTTTAACTAGATTCTTCAAAACAAAATTACTATTAGTTGAATTAGTTTGTTGAATTTAAGCTTATTTAAGTGTATTTTAAGCGTAATTGTCAAAATATTGGTAATATATGATAGCTAATAGATCACTTTCGATCTATGTTAGATTATTTTAATGTTAAAATTTACCAGCTTCATAATTAGCACTATTTTGTAGAACGTTACCGTATGGTAACGCTAGCCAGTTATGGGTGATAATGTTAATTTACGGTTTATTTGTTCCAGGAAATGTTTTACGTTAGGAGAGGCCTCGAACCTGGTTTATGATGATGAGATTAGTATTTAAGATATAATTCTCTAGAGTCTTCAGAATCAAATATCCTCACGGATGAAGACTCAGGTGAAGAGGATAATGGAGGTATTGTTAACAATCTTAACAGGCAACAGCTAACAGCCATTGTTGAAGTACGATTTCATACAGAACAAGAGCAGTTTGAAAAAGATGAACGGTATGAAATACCAGAACGACCAGGCAGAACCAAGGTAACTTGGATAAATAGAGATTTAGTTCCTTCTGCAAGGAAATTTCCAAAACAAAATTATGCACGATTCAAAAGCTTATTACCTATTGAAGTTTTTGAAAAATTTTTGGGAGGATGACATAATACAGTTCATTATTGATTAATCAAATGGCTTTGGCGAATCCATGATAAAATATTTTGGGCGACATCCCTGTAAATAGTTAATTTGGGGAAAACCAATTAGGTTCGTCTACAAGATGTGGACTTATAATGGAATGGAAAGTGGGAGGAAGAAGAGGTCCAGGAAGAAGAAAATGCTCCTGGTTGAAGAATGTAAGAGACTGGGGAGGCATGGACACACGTTCGATACTAAGAACAGCTTAAGATAGAGAGCAATTTGCTGTAGTTATAGCCAACCTTCAGTAAGGAAGCAGGCACCTTAAGAAAAAGACAAGATGCAGTATCTGAATCATCATCAGGGTATCTAGTAAATTTTGATCTAAACCAAGGTAAAAACCCTATAGGAATCACCACATTTTAAACAGAATTTGGAAAAAAAACATCCAATGGTTAATATGATACACAAATTCCCTGAAGCTTACATAACTTTACCATTCAAATTATATTTTGAGAACCTTTTTATGGGTTTTAATATTTTTATTTATATTTATAATTTTATTTAAAACAACTGGGATGCGATGCAACACGAATAATTCGGGAGAGCCGCATACCCAAATCTTGTCCATCAAGGACAGAGAAAAAATTATCCAAATCAGTTGTCCATCAATTATAACTGAATATAACCGACTTACGAGAGGTACTGATTTGTTAGATTGAGGATCTTTTAAGATATAGGATACATATCAGACGTAAAAAGTGGTGGTGGGCAATCTTTACATGATTGTCAGATGTTTCTATGGTAAATGCATGGAATGTTTACCGGAAGACGAACTCTATATCTCAACTAGATTTTAGGAGACAAGTAGTACAAGCATATCCTACCAAATATGGGGCTCCCCCTAAAGGCTCTGGAAATCCAGCAGTATCACGTTCCAATGTGACATTTAACAGGGGGTCAGATGATCTACGATATGATGGTCGTAGACATTTACCTGTCCTAATGAAAATAAGAAAAGAAGATGTGTCGGGGAAGAGTGTTCATCTAATGTACGTACAAAATGTTTGAAATGTGACGTTGTTCTATGTATAGAATGTAATGAAATATTCCATACCAAATAATTGTGTATTACGAATTAGGCTAGCATTACCAAATGGTATATGGCATATGGTCCTACGTTCCATGTGACCAATTTCGTTTATAACTTAAAACATCATAGTTTTTTAATATCAAAGGGGTAATTCAAAGTTAATCGAACTACATTTAAAAGGTTTTTACCCATATATTTAATGTCTTCAAACATGTAAATTCAAATAACACTGATGATGGAATAGTTATTCCAAAAATGTTCTGTGATGTTGCTCTATAGGGTTTTTATATTAATATACCTTTTATAAAGGATTAAGTAAAAATTTTAAATGAATATCTTTACCTTATTCAAAAATATTATAAACGCGTATTGCCAAATATAAGTTAATTAAGTAAATTCACAGCGTCGTTCTAGCAAGTACATATTGCTAGCGTGTGATTGATCCTTAGTGAGAGCGCCCACCAAAGTGGCGTGGCACGTGGCAAGTAGCACGCGTCTAGCATGTTTCTTAAAATGTAACCAATGAAAACGAATGATTCAGCGTACACCAAAATGACAGTGACGTCATTCATTCTAATCATTCGTTTTCATTGGTTACATTTTAAGAAACATGCTAGACGCAAGCTACTTGCTACGTGCTACTTGCCACGCCACTTTGGTGGGCGCTCGCCCTTATGGATACAATGTATTCCGTAACATTTAATAACGATAGCAAAATTTTTTCCAATAATTCTCCAAACTAGTAATTTCATTGTGAAAATTAGGAAAAAAAACTTAGGTATTGACATGAAATGTTTGATCTAATCTTTTTTTTATCAAACTTTTAGAGTTTAATTTCATTAACAAGAGCTTGGAAATAATGTACACAATCTGTGAAAAAATATCAATATTTCACAGGATATATCATTCTTTTAAAATCTATTCTTCTTCTTCTTCTAGTTCCATGACCGTTATCGATCGTTGGATATCATGTTGGCTACCATATTCGCTATCGTGACTTTATTGACAGCAGCTCTAAATAACGATGTAGTTGATTTTCCATACCATTGCCTTAGATTTTTCAGCCATGATATTCTTCGTCTACCAGGACCACGATTACCTTTGATCTTTCCCTGAATGATCAGATGTAAAGGATCATATTTTTCAGGGTGTCTCATAATGTGACCGAAGTATTCCAGCTTGTGTTGCTTTATTATATTGACCAGTTGTGTTGTTTGGCTCAGCCGTCTAAGGACCTCCTCATTTCTAACTCTGTCGACCCAGCTTATTTTCAGTAGTCGTCGGTATACCCACATGTCAAAGGATGTCAAGCGTTTAAGCATAGCCTCAGTTAGAGTCCACGCTTCTACTCCATACAGCAGGACAGGAAAGATGTAGCAAGATGTCATACGAACTCAATGCTAAGATCGTGACTGCAAAGTACGTTTCTCATTTTTACAAAAGCAGCTCGGGCTTGTTCTATTCGGCTTTTAATTTCTGCGGTTGGAACCCAGCTCTCATTGATATTACTGCCCAGATACTGAGTTTCTCTACTCTGTCCAGTGTGGCATCTCCGACTTTTATACCGTCATCCTGTATATAATTTTGTTTGCTAACTATCATTCATAAAATCTATTCAAATATCAAAAACAAAACATATTTAATGGTAATCATTTGGGTATCATCATAATCATAATCATAATTGTAATCATCATGTATTAGAATTCATCCACTGTAAAACATGTCACAAGAAAATAGCTTCGGAATAAGACGATCTTTTTAGCCTAACAAATTACACACATTCTCGAGCTCCTATTAGTCCTTCCCTTAAGGACGCATTGGACAATAACAACAGTTGATATTCAAATCACAAAAAAATTTTGAATCGTTTATAAAAAAAAATATAACAGTCAATCCATTCCTCAGCACCATCTTTGATGTATATAAAAACATAAATTTTATAAGTTCATTAACATCTATATCTTTCAGTTTCACATAAGCAGGATGCCATATGCAAAACAAAATATATCTAAAGTATAAACACAGGCATGGGAAACATGAATGGTGAATACCAGTAGCTTGTAAAGTAGTTAATGAAAGCACCAAACGCCGCTCTATCTATAAACAGGAAGAAAAAATTCGGATGAGTGTTTTAACACCACATTGATATCAAAAACAAACACTTGCCGTATCTTAACCCTTCTTACATTAGACTTCTTGTTTAAAAGTTTTTTTTTACTTTACAGTCAAAATAACATAATTTATGGAATGTAAAAAAACTTACAATAAAAACAAAAACTGAATAATCGGATAAATAAAGATAAAAAAAAACGGTGTCTTTCGAAAATGATTTGAAAAAAAAAAGTAATATAACTACATTTGTTCATTTTTAACGTCGTTATAGGGCTTGAACTAATACAATTTAATAACCTTTAACAGTTACTACATAAATTCACTTCCAACATAATTCTTTTGTAAATTGACCAAAATTACAGTTTTTTGGTGTTTTGTTGTAAAAAAATACATATTATGTATACATTTCGTATACCCAATAATCTGTTCTGCTGGATGGATACTACTTTTCAATAATTGAAAATTGAAACCCGTCATTTGGATCAAGAAATCGTTTTTCGATAAGCGAGTTTTTTAGAGTAGCTAAAAAAGTGTGGTAGAAACAATCACTCATTCAACCTATTACGCAGGTCAATTAACCCCAAAACATAGTGGAAAAGTTTCAAAAATTTGCATAACGCTATAAATTAGTATCTATGAATGTTTGCAACAGCATTATAAATGAAATGTAAAAAACCCCATTAATCACACATCAAATACCTCAAATAGCTTCAATACATCAAATAGCAAATATTAGTAAAATAGATGATAGGTTACTAAGTCTTAACAAAAGATACGTACTAAGTACTATCGAAAGCTCGAGAACAAGTACCCCCAGACTCTGAAAACGAATGTTGCATTTCTGTCTTCTTTCTAAACAAAGAAGGGAACAAACTTCCTGATGAGTACTGTAATATCCTTTAAACAACCCTCCCAAAATATAGCAGACTTCTTCTTCATGTGCCATCTCCTATAAGAAGGTTGGCAACCATCATGGCAATTCGAACTTTCGATACTGCTGTTCTAAAGAGGTCAGAAGAAGTGCAGTTAAACCAAGCTCTTAATTGTTTAACCAGGAGAGGCGTCTTCTTCCGCGACCTACCTGTATTCTACCCTGTATTCTTCCTTGCATTATTAATTCCAACAAGTTATAACGCTCGCCCCTCATAACATGTCCCAGATATTGCAGTTTTCTGACTTATATATAGTCTATTGTTTGATATAGCAGACAATAGACTGCAATTGGCAAAAATGCTAAATCAAGAGCCGTTTCTAAAATAAAAAGACTTAAGGCAACGGGACAAAAAGACAACGGGACTGGCCACAGAGATCCGCGTACGCTATGTTCGCGATGTTCGCTATGTTAGCTGCGTCGTTGAATGTTTTGTTGTCGGATATATTTTTATTCGTCGCCGAGTACGGGCTTGCGCAGTAAAACGGTCCAACGTATGTTTTGGTTTTTATTTACGCCGTTGCAAGTCTATTATAGGTGGTGTCGACAGCGTATTGTTAAACAAACAGTAAACAAACATGGTGTTGGAAATTTTAATCGAGGAAGTTAAACAACGACCATGTTTATGGAAAAAGTCCTTGGAGGGTTATAGGAATCAAAATGTAAGGGATAATGCGTGGGAGCAGATTAGTAAAGTTTTACATAGACCAGGTAAATACATAATACATATATAATTACATTATAATACTAATTATTATAAAATATTTTCTTGAACTATGCGATTCACTACTCTTTCTTGCCATTCCACTCGACCCTCATCAGACATAAAGTACTCCATGAAAGAAGTTCTAGGCCTAGGGCTTCCCTTGTTGCATATCTTGCAGTACCAGCACGCATTTGAAC